ATACGATACAGGTTGAGGCAGAGAGATTCTGCAAAAGAATCTATAGGAATGTGGTTTTCTGGAATCCTGCCACAGGGACAGTTAAATATGTGGTGAGCTAAACATTTATGGAACCTGTTTTCCTCTGACATATTTTAGTTGTACTTAAAAGATAGCTCATATTTGGCTTTACAGAGGCTGTCTGAGCACTCTTGTTGATAGAAACATTCACAAAAGTCCTGTGCTCATGGTAATCCTACTTGGGTAAATTATAGTTGAGATAAAGGACTGCAGCCCCAAGTAGGGTCCAAGACAGTATGATCTACGTGAGTTAATACTCACATAGTGAGTATGGAGTATGTGTCACAGAGTGACCATCAGGATATATCCAGGTCTTAAAAGCAAAGCTTGGATCACTCATTTTCCTTGACTCCTTCCCTCCTGTAGTTGATTCATCAATATCTGTAAGGCAAAAAATGTGCTTTTGCATCATCACATCTCCATTTTCATAATGCTGGCAGTGTCCCCATCACTATCAAAGTTCTGCTGAGGTTATAGATTGTGTACTGGGAGTGGTAGGCAAAATAGAAAAACTGTTGTGTTTAGCACTGTTCCTGGCAAAACCTGGTGTCTTTCTGTTGGATGAGAAGGTTACACAGCTTGGATGTTCTTCATAGCTGCTTCTGTGCTTTCCAACCACTGAGACATGATGTTGTGGAGCTATGCTTTTTGGGAGAACAAGGATAGTCTCCTTCAAGACTTTCTGATAAAGGCATCCTCCTCCTTGGAGATTTCCGTGATGTAGCAAAGTTTTAAATTCAAGCTTCTTCCATCAGGTGGAATTCTTTTACAGCAGCTGAGTAGTTGAGTTCCCATCCCAGCATCTCCCTCAGCAATTTTTTTTTAAAGGGATGGAATCTATCTGCTCCGTAGTGGTATTTTATATATGTACATGTGCCAGAGGAACTAGATGAGAAAAGAGAAATGCAGTAACTATTTTACAAGATAGGAGTAAGAGAAATTGACTGCTGTTTCTGAAATGCATCCTAAGACATAAATAAAGCTTTCCAGTGTAGATATTCCCAAAAATACAGCATGTTGGTTTGGGCTTTATTTAAATGTTGTTGGCTTTTGAGAGTTCTGTAATGATACTAAAAAAATAAGAGGAATGTAAACTACAGCGTGAGGCCTCAATGAAAGTTTTACATCTACAAACAACAGAAACAAAGCGAACAACTTCAAGATAGTGAATAGACTTTGGGTGAGGCCTACTGTTTAAAAGGTCCTGAGAAATCATAAAAAAGATGTGAACCATAGAGTAAGAATGTTGTCCTGCAATCCTGGCTCCACCAGAATCCATGGAGTTGATATTTCCTATGTGGCTGCTGTCGTGTCTCTTCCCTAATATCCACCCCACGTGCTGGTTTGCATGTTCATACATTTTAACCGACTGATCTATGCTGAACTGGTTGGTTGAAAGCTTCATAGCCAAGAAACCGCAGTCTTTTATTTGGAGACCTCTCCCTGGACAAGGAAGGAAGGAAAGCTAGAATTAGGCTTCCTGTAAAAGTCAAAATAAGAAAACAAACATTAGAGAGTAGATGACAAAACTCACATTTTAGGAGACCAAACACACGTTTTAGGATGGCTTCCTTCAGATGTGCGAATCTGTGTTTTCTTTGTTGACTTTCCCATTATATCCACTTTTTTTTGTTCTCATGCAAAATGAAAGGTTGCTTCTGTCCAGAGTGTTCAAGTGACTTTGGTTGTCTGAACAGGAGAAAACCTTGAGGAGTTGGCTCATGTGGTATGAAGTGTGCAACAGGATAGTCAAGCATTTTTAGAGATGGACATTCAAGTGACTACAAGAAGAGGAGCAATCTTGCTGATCGGGAAGCACTCATTGGTTGTGGGCCCCTCAGGGAATGAGTGAATACACTTCCCTTGGGAAGAAACCTAACAACTTGTCATTCTCCAGCCAGGATTTTGTTGATTAGAGACAGGTCCGAGTTCATGTGACTTGGAAGGAGACCAATCTTTCCTGGATTTCTAAGTCCTCAGAGTCTAGTAGCAGACTGTGATCAGAAGAGAGGTTGGGGTTCACATCTGACTCCAGATTTAATCTCAGGCCCTTTGCAGAGGTTGGTTTCAACATCAGTCTGATAGGGGAAAGTCAAACTTAGCTTTCGCCCAGTTAGTTTAGAACTAGATGAGATATCGAAGTGGGCAAAGCCAAGCTGTATTAATGAACAACACACCAACACCTGCTAGAGCAATGTGACAATATCACTTTAAATCAGATGCTGAAGTGTGGAAGAAAGGTTGTCCACTTGGGCAGTTTATCCAGTACCTTGAAGTGCCAGAGGAATGAAGAGAAGCACTGCACTGTCAGTCTCTATTAAAGAATTTTTGGAAGAAAATTCAAGTGCAGTCAGTTCTGGATGTCCTAAAACCCCATTAGCTTTCACCATTAAACCTGTTCAGAAATTAGCTGGGTCTAGCTTTTGCCAGTAATTGAGTTACGGCCTACCACTCTAACTTAGAAACTTAAGGTTTGTGACCTTGCAGTAGATTGCTGCATTCCAGATAGTTGGTTTTGGGTTTCTTTTTTGTTTGTTTTGTTTGTTTGTTTGTTTTTATCAAGTGGCTTGGTTTGGAGATCCCTTCTTGGAAGAGGTCCAAACATATTTTCATATGTTTGTTCCAGTGGGTGAGTCTTGGCAGAACCTGGCATGGCCAGGGACGGCACAGGAATGAGCCCCACCTCTCAACAAGCATGATGTGCTTGAACCAGTTTACCTAAGGACCCACCTTCATGTGGCTTTTGGCTCCAGTGCAGCGGGCGTTAGAGAGGACTGAGTCGAGCCTATGGCAGAGGCATCCATCGTGACACAGCTGCCCAGTGAAACATGGAGCCATGTGAGCTCAGAGCTGAAAGCAGTGTAGATGCAGATAAAGTCTTTGCAGTTTGAGCAGCAGATGTCTTTCCCCCATGCTCAGTTGTGAGGCACTTGGCACCCTGCCACAGGTTTCCTCTGTGAACTTGGGTGAGTCACTTAATCTCTCCCTTGATATTTGTCTGTATTGTTCATCCAGACTTTTAGGACCATAGCTTGTTTCTTACTGGGTAGAGGGACAGTCCCTCGTTATCAGGTTGTTTCGATCATTACTGGAACTTAGCTATTAGTTTCTCCTCAACATGTGGTAAATATGAGGTACCATCCAGAAGAGAGGAATAATTATTCCATATATGCCATAATGATGATTATATTAACACATACAGATCACTAGACTGAAGACCTTTTTAGTTCCTACCACACCTACTTCAATGGTGTTTTGTTCTTCTGTATGGCTCCTGGAAGTTTTTTGCAATACAAATAATTAAGAACAAGAAACGTTTACCTGGGGCTTAAAATTCAGCCGGCCCGTAACATACTGCCAGCATTCTCCACCTGAGTAAGTGCTCCCAGTGAGCTCATCAGAACCCTCCCCTCTGTGTAGGAGCTTCTTCTAAACCATTAAAATCATTGGGAGTTTTGCCACTGATTACAATGGCAGTAAGGTCAGGGACCTTAGATCAGTACCAGAGCATGCTAGTGATGAGAGGGATGTGTGATTTGGATGAAGAGGCAAGACTTTTCTCTCAGTCCCTCACAATGGCTTAGAAATCCATTGAAAATGTTAGCAAGAGGCCTTTTTATTTCCTTCTGGAAAAAAACATGTGTATTTAATTCCTGTAATAAAATATTCTAATGGTAGTAAATTGTGAAGTTCTAGAAAGAAAAAAACTGATTTCTCAGCTAGTGGAGGAGAGAGGGGGAAATTACAAATCCCTGGTTGCCCATTATTGGTTGACTAGCAACATTTGGCCACAGAGAGCAATATGAACATAGTTTTAACATGCAGGTGGCTACAAGAGAAGGGCTGTGCTGTATGAAGCCCAGTATCTCCTTAAAGTGGTTCAACCTACTTTTCTAAATATATTACAAAGTGAGGCAGACTGAAACTGTTGTAGATGGTCTGCTCCACTTCAGATAGTCACATATTCATTTTAGCTTTAGAAAAAAAGTTTATGTTGGCATTTTCTGTTCCTTGTAGTCACGCTGGCTTTTCAAAATAGTTTTTGAACTAAAAATATGTTTCCTGAAATTCATACACTGGGACAAAAAAATATCTCTTCCCTTACTGCTACCACACTGAAGCAGATGGTGAGTACTAACACTCAGAACCAGTAAGCAAGTAATTCTTCAATGCCTGGGTGCAGAAATGTAGCTGTTGGGTCAAAGTAGACTTCTACAAGACAGACTGTCATTGCAAGTTAGTTTGAGTTCAAGTTCCCTTGAGTTAGACCAGGAAGACTCCAGTAGCAGATTACATGAGCTGCACAGATGCCCTATTGCATTTCCAGCTTGAGTTCACCCACAAGCTCTGGCAGACCATCTGCCTTAAGTTGAAAGTCAGTTCCAGCTCTGTGTTTTTCTGTGTGAACAGTAATCAGATTAGGGACAACACTCAGGTTATGCCTCAGGTTAGTAAAGGCAAACTTGCAAAATTCACCATGATCCAGGTCATAATGATGTCACCCACCTAACATGCTTTCCCACTATGGTATCTACAGTTACTTTGGCACACAGACCATGATGCAATATATTGTACATGGGGGACAGATATGCTGCCTGTGAATAATGCAAATGGGTGACTACAGAGTAATTATTTCAGTCCAAACTGGACTCAGAATAAGCTTGATTCTGCAAAATACAAAGCAACTTTTGCTCCCTCTGAAGTCAATAGAAGTTGATTTCACTTTTCACATTCACTTTGATTAACCTGGTCTTGACATTGTGGCACTTGTCCTGTTGTAAAGAAAATTGGTAGCTGTGAAAGAGCAAAGATTTTCTAATTTAAGATGGGAGGGAGTGTTTGCTGCTGATGAAAACCTTATCTTCATAATAAGCAATAACACAGTCTGATAATCTGCCATTATTGAGTTTCCTTCTCTTTTTTTTCCTTAAGCTGAAATTATGTCACCTGTAGACAGAAATAAGGAAAATGGATTGCAAATGCCGAACCTATGCAAATTTTGTGACATTAAAGTAACAACCTGCTCAAACCAACATCAGTGCAAGAGCAACTGCAACATCACTGCTATCTGTGAGAAGAATAATGAAGTCTGTGTTGCTATATGGTAAGTTATTTCTTCATACAGGTGAGGAGGGGAGCACACCCTCATCCATCATTACTTAGTACTTTCCTCGATTGCTTTGATATTCAGAATGTTCCTGCTACCTCACCAGGCTTTGCTCTCTCACTTCCAGCTCATATCTGTGCTCAGCATACTGAGAGTTTCTTGAGGTTAACAACAATTCTGATATGAAATGTTCTGGGAATTTTTTTCTTTCAAAGCAGTTCTGTTTCAGCTTATGCTGTTATTGGAAAAGAGGTATGTTTTTGCTCAAACCATTAAGCTGCATCCACCCACAGCACTGAGAGTAGAAACAGATTTGAGACTCAGAGAGGATTGTGGTGGCATTTGCTGAAGAAAGGCAATTCTCTTTCAGGTTTCAAAGTAAACTAGATTATGTAAGTCTATCACAGGAGGCTTATTTACTGTGTATAGTTAGAAATACTTTCTCTTAATGGTAAAAAAAAGAAATCTTCTGTGTATGTAGTGACTCCGATGTAAGCATGGTGCTTTTTATATAGCATATTTCTAGGTTCAAAGAAACCAAGGGTATATGAAAATGAGTTGTAACACTTTTTTAAGCAGTCTAAAAACTGGGCTTTTGCCCTTCAATAAAAGATAAGCCACTCCTACCAAAGAAAACCAGAAATACTCTTAATGAGTTCATATGTGAACAAAAGGAACAGAACTGAGTATTGGCAACATTGCTGCTGATTTAGGAACATAATTAGAATCACTTACAGAAAGGCATAATTAATTCATTTATTGAGGGATTAGTTGTGTCTATTGACTTGAAGAGGTGTTCAGCATAATTGGAAGTAGACACTTGAAATGCAGGATCAGTCCAGTGTGCTGTTCCTTATTTGTCCTGTGCTCCTTTAGTAAGTGGTCACTGTCTATTATTGCCATACAAAGTGGCTGTAGTGCAATTTAAGATACATTCTCGATTTTTTCATGTCAACTTATCCAAAAGGCAAATGAGTTGAGAACTGTATTTAAAGTACTCTTTGCCTCTGAGTCTTGTGTCAATAAAATGAAATCTGTGGAACAAGACAAAACACAGGAGTATGGTCCAGTTTATCAGCTGTAAATATTTCTGTGACAGCGAGGCAACTCTAGCTTGCACAAGTTCTGTTGTTGGTTTTGTTTTGGGTTTTGTTTTTGTTTGGGTCTTTTTGGTTGTTTTTTGGTTTTTTTTTTACATTATAAGGATAACTCCAGAAATTGTGCTGATTATAGGCCTCAAAAATAAAACAAAAAGGCCGAATCACTAGAAATTCTTCAAATTTTGAGGAAATAATTCAGTATTTATCATAATTTCTCACAGATTTTTTACTGTCTGCACAGTGACCACAAAAACCAAAAGTATGTTCTGAAGTTCACAGCAGTTCATTGAGCATTAGCCTGAATAATTCTGGATGAGATTTTCAAAGGCACTCACTGGAACTTAGTGGTAATATGATACAGGAATAGCTGTGCCATTGTACAAATGCCCCAGTGTGAGGAGCCCAGACACAGCCAAACTTACCCCATTCAGAAAGGCCGGAGAAGAACATATGATACTTTTTAAATCCCAGTTGAGCTCTCAAAAGAGGCAAATTTCAGGCAGGCACAGTCCTGTCTGCTCCTTTTGTAAAATATTGCTTTGATTTCAGTTTTCTCCTTTTCCTTTTCAGGAGACAAAATGATGAAAATGTGACATTAGAAACAATATGTCATGATCCCCAGAAAACACTCTATGGTCATGTGTTGGATGACTCCAGCTCAGAGCAGTGTTTGATGAGGGAAAAGAAGGAAGATGGGGGATTGATGTTCATGTGTTCCTGTACAGGTGAAGAATGCAATGATATGCTCATTTTTCCATCAGGTGGGTTTAATAATTCACCCTGCATTCCTAGGGTATACCTTACAAGTAATATTAACTGTGTCACACCAATGGACTTTGGAATTGCATTTTGTGGAGGAAAACTTCTCGGGGCAGGAGATATTTTGGTCTCTTCTGAGTCTTGCAAAACCTCAACCTTTCTTTTCTGCATTCAGAGGATATTTCTTCCTGCCAGGCTATCCTCCTTTTGAAGTAAGTCTGATACTCAGCTCAAGACATTGCACTTAAAAGTTGATGAAAAGAAAGGTGAAAGCAAGATGTTTAGAGTTGTTCTGTTGACACACCAAAATGCACCATATGCTAATTACATTATAAAGCATATACAAGAAGCGAATGCCATATTTAAGGTCTTGCCTCTTCTAAAAGGCTGTACTGCCATAGTGTGGCATCTGCACGTACAGATACTACTGAGTAACTCGATAGGATGTGAATTTAAAGTCAGCTTCTCGGTTGTAACTGACCACCTGCACTTGTTCTGTGGTGGGCGTGGAGTAGCTAGAAGATTCCTTTGCTGGTGGATATGCTACTTCATGCTTACTACAGCACAAGGACATGTATTTGAGTTCAGTTAAACCAGTGAAATCCAAGTGTAGACTACTATCATAAGTGCATAACCTTCTACTTCATGAATGCCTATATCAAGCACTGCAAAATACAGTAAAGACAGTGCAGGTGTGTACAGTGCTGGTGAACCTCATGCTGCATACACAGATGTGCATGTGTGCACGCATACACCTCACTTTATTTTCTCCTACCTGCTGGATCCCACAATGATTCTTTTACTGAGACTAAGTCAGGTCTCTCACAGGCAAGTGTGAGGCCTCCTGTGGGGAACTTTGTGTGCACGCTTCTAAATAAGTGTGGCACACAGCACCTATCCTTATCACCTGTAAGTTCCTCAGAAAAGGAGGAATCAAATCCTCGTCTGAGGTAATGGAGGGTTGGGACACTGTTTCCACTCCTGGGAAACATGGTGCATGACTGCACTGAGGTGGACAGCTATGTGAGTGGCTTCTAGCTCTTGTTTCCCAGCCATCAAAGAAGGCTAACTAGTTTAGGTTGCAAAACCACACCAGATTAGCTGAGAGCAAGCTAGAAAGTCTTTGCCTCCCTTGGCCCAGACTGTCCATATCCTTCCCTCTTCCTCATCCCCTCCCCAAACTTAATTTGAAACCAGACAACCTGACTGCTGATTTGTGGTTGTGTGACCAACCCTTACTTGGGTGGGCTTTAAAGGAGTTGGAGTAAATACTGATATGGATTTGAGCACAGGTGGTAGACCCAGGACCTAATTCTAACAGATTGCTTTAATTTTATTGAAGAGAGTGTGTTCCTAGTGAAAAGATCTTACTGTGTGTTGGCTGTCTGGAGTTTTTATACAAAGCAAACCACGCCCTTGTGGATTTTGGCTAATTTGTTATAAATTATTCACATTATAGCTTTTTTCTCCTGGAGCTATGTAGCTGAATACAGTTGCTCTGACAAGTGTGTGTCTTCTGCGTGTATGGTTATGAAAACTGTACTGTAAATTCAACATCAAGTGCCTTCATTCCCATCAACTCTGCAGCCCCCCTCACACTTCCAGAGCAGCCTAAAAGGAGCTGTAGGATAAATTAAACCCCAGTCTTTTACCCTAATTCATTTCACTCTTCAGAGTGGAGCTTTTCCTTCTAGGTCATGTGCTGTCAGCACTCTAGGTGACGCATGAAAACTGTGCCCTGCATTCACATGTAGTAAGTGAATAAATACAGATAAAAATTAAAGTAATGTAAAACTTCAGTTTGTAACATTTCCAGTTCATTCACAAACACAAGCATTAGCTCCAGTTGGGAGGGGGGGAAAATTGAGCCTTTGTCATTCCTTTTTTATTATTGTGGATTAGTGTTTCTTTTAAGTGAAAACAGCCCCTTTGGGTTGCTTGCCTGGTTAGCCATGGCAGGAAGACAAACGATTTTTACAGTATCAGACATGCGGTTTCCTGTCTGTGTTTAACTTTGAGCAGAACATCACAGCCAGCTGGTCCACGGCTCCTCCAGACAACTAGATAATAGCCTGTAATAATTTTGCCTTTGGAATGACTGTCATCCAGATCTATTCTGTGCATTGTTCTTGCCTTTTTTTCTCTCTACATTTCTTGTACACCAGAGCAAGATTTTTTTGCAGTGTTTTTGCACATCCTGTAGTTTTAGAGAGTGGACAAATGCTAGTCTAAAAAAGCCTGATCAAAAAGTGATTGTACTCATTTATGAGCAGAAACTGAGATGATAAAAAAGATGGTAATTTTTGCCTGATAATCACAGCCTTTCCTTTCAAGCTATTGCTCTAAATGATCAGTGTTCTAGCTCTTCTTCCTCCTGGGTGCATGCTTAAGACAGACCAGATTTAGTTTCTTCCTGGCGTTTCTGAGGTAAGAAAGAAAATTGTGGGTAAGGCAACAAGTTCTAATTTCCACCAGAGGTTAGTCACAACATTCCAGTGATTCACAGCTGAGCTGTTATTGCTTATAGAAGAATTGGTTTATATCACTGTTGGCTTATATCAGTTTTGACTGTGAAAGGTAAACATCTAAAGGTTTTGGGTAGTGGGAGATGTTGTGACTCACCAAGTGTGGCTTTGGAAATGTTTGAAGTAGTTACATCCAAATCAAATGCCTGTTTCTTGTACGAACTTTCGTTTAATTTGCCAATCTGCAAAATAAGCAAGACACAGTCAGACATGTGCCTAAACATCCCTGTAGTTCTGCTGTGTCAGGGGGCTTCTGACCCTGAATCAGATCCCTGGCATTTCAGGCCACAGGCAGCTGGTGGAAAATGCTGTGTGCAGAATCATTCCAAACAATGTTCTGTAGTTCTTGGAGAAATAATATATAGGAGACAGGTAGCCATTGCAAATCTGACTACTCTGTGTTTATTTTTTAATCCCTTTCTCTTTTGCCAAACAAAATTGTGGGTGACTAGCAAGCAGCTTACACCCCTGTGGTGGAAAAATGCTTCTCATGGCAAAACTCAATGCCAGTCTGTTTTAATTATTATTTATTCAAATGTCTAATGTCAGTGTTACCAGAAGGCAAAGCCAGGGAGCAAAACCACTGGAAAAGATTAGCCAAAATTCAGGGGGGAAAGGCTCTGGCTGGCTAGAAGTTGGCTAGGTGGCAGACAGGGGCCAGGTCCTGCTGTCATGGAAAAGATGAGTGCAGGACTGGACTACCAGTTTTTTCCTCCCTGATGTCTAGTTGTGTCTGGTGGATCTTCTGCATCTTGCTTTGCCTTCTTATGTTCTGACCTCTTGTGATGAACAAAGTCTGTCTGTAGCTGTTTGCACAGTTCCAGGCCTCCCTTGGTGTTTGGGCAGCTTTGTTCCTCAGCCTTCCCCTCACCGCACCATCTCTCTGCTTCTATTCATCAGCCAGTGCGAGCATGACAAATGCCTAACAAAGTTCTTTATTAACAATCCTAAGCTATTTGGCTGAGGTCAGGGCTTGTTTACCCAAAGGGACCAAGTAGGACTGTGCTTTTTCCAGCCTCACGTCTGACCTGTTCTCCACGGGCAGGGATGACCAGGCACTCATTGTAGCGGGGGAGCTGGGATACCTGTGTGTTACTCCATGCATGACCTACCTGCTATGCAGCACAATTTCTCCCTGTTGTGCAGGCTCATTCATTCAGCAGCGTGCAAAAGGGTGACCCCAGCACTGGAGACTGCAGACAGGAAAACAAATCTTTTCAGTAGTGTTGTCGTTATATGTGCAGTTGTTATCCTGGGCATGGAGTTCAAATCCAAGCAAAAATGCAGAGAACTCAAAATTTGGAAACAGGGTTTGCAGAGCTGTAGCCCAGCTCCATTTGGTTTAGAGTCATTTCATTCTAATAATTTATGTGGTGATCGCTTTTCATCCTCATGTCTCTTGCCCTGCTATGCAGATCTTCATGCAGTTTGCAACTGAGGTGCCTCTGGGATTGTTCAGGTAGTCTCTGTTTATTCCTCATGTACTGCAAGATGAGGTCATTATTTTGGGCATTCCCACTGCACTCGGACTTAATGTGGGAGAAACCTTTAGCAGCAACAATGTATACAAATTTTAATGATTATCTGAATCATCCAAACAGTTGCCTTGAAATATCAAAACTTTAGTGATAGAGATGACTGACAGGCCAGCACGAGTTTATGAGAATAATGAAGCTAGTTGGGGAAGTGTGTTGGATGGGGGGAGGATGTTGTGTTGCTAGCAATCTTCACATTGATCATGGATTTACTAAGTTTGCTAATTGAGAGTCTAAAAGACGTAAGTATTTGATTAATCAATTGTGGCTGAGTCATTTGCCCGAACAAATTACAGCCTATGGATTTGCAGTGTGCCAAGTGCTGTGATTGCTCACTGTGTACGGTTGTTGCCTGGGAGACCTGATATTGTTCTGCTTCCTGAACCACCACAAGCATGCCTGCGTGATGCCTTGTCCTGTGCCCAGATCGCAGGAGATATGGGTAATGTTTTAGAATTTCCTTAACTTGGTATCTCTTGCTTGTCTCTAACATGTTGCCCCCGTCTTTTCCTTTCTTTCTCTCTCTCCTCTTCCTCTCCTTACTAGAGTCAATCGCTTGTTAGTGATTTTACTTGACTACATAGGAGGATCTCAGACTTAAGAGCAGACTTAAGACCTGTGCACAAACAGCCGCCAGGCCATAAATACTCATGTGATGAGTTGCCCAGTGCTGAAGGAACAGCAGAAGG